TTATGTTAAGGTCCTTTTGTGTCATATAGTTCCGAACGTTGCATCTTATTTACGCATCCCTGTCTATCAAATGTTTAAGTTCGAGCGTTCTAAATAATAAACTCGTCCGGCCCTGTTGAAATTGCGGATTGCCTTTCCAATTAATAAAGAGCAAAATATTCATTTTCATCATAAGAGGTATTATACTTTTATTAATTTCTTCAATATAGATTTTAAGACTAATTACATGCTTAATAAAAATTGCTTATTGATTCGTAACTAACTTGCGTGCCGTTATCTTATGTCAATATATTTGTTTTTCTAGAACAGCCTGGAAATCAGTCATTAAAATATTTCGCTATAATCATAATGTGCAAATGTACTTAAGATATTAATCTTCATCCCTAAAGCTAGTCATGTCGTTATATCTAAGCATTGGCTTCCGTTGAAATTTCATTAAAACGTTGTTTCTATAAAATACAAAGAGAGCGTGATATCAAAATAATAATATTTGCATAATGAATTAAACGATTTGAAAGTACAATGCAAAACATATTAAAAACAAAAATATCGAACTCCAAAATAATTTGAAAAAAGGGAAGTCCATAAAACTAGATACAACCAAACGATCGACTATATCAACAAATAGAACGGCTTGAAAACAACGGTTATATTCCTGGTACACAGTCATGCAATTTTTGAAGAAACTTTGAGGGACACTTTTTTGTAAAAACTTAAATGTTGTCACGCCGGGGACTCATAGCTTACTTCAATATTACACCCCAGTTCTATTGTTATACTTCATAGTTTTTATTTCTGAAACAAGTGTAAATTGAATAGATCTATTGTTACGAAAAACAATGGGTTTTGACCACAGGGTGTGACGAGCGGGGTTTCTGGAAACCCCTGCTTCTACATCCCGCAAACAAAGTCCATTGTTATTCGTAACAATAGAAATTGATTATGAACATAAGAAATTACTAATAGTGTTCACTTCAAATTGTTTCATGATATTAAAAAAAAACACATTTTAGAAAATTCCAATAAGCATCTATATGGAATACAAAAATAATCCTTTAAATACTTTTTTGTTTGAAGGTAATTTTTTTTTTATCCCAGTCATATGGTCTCTATTCTAAAGCATTGGTCTTTAAAAAAGAATTGGGATTCTAGCTCCCGGACCCTCCTCCCCCGGTTACCCAATGGCCGATCCGGGGTTGGGGGTTCCGCGGGTTGGACCCGACTTTTATTTAAAAGATCAATGCATTTGAATGGTTGGGCCCCCCTTTCTCTTGAGTTGGGAACCCGCGGCTGGATCAGCATCTGATTGCCCCCAAAAAAGGGGCGTTCCTCAATATTAAATATTGTATGTTAAGCGTGTCTGGTAGTCGGGTTTCTAATGCAGACACACCTATTCCTTAGTATGTTCGAATATGAATGTTTGTTTATTCTCGAGATGAGGTGGGGGTGGGGTTGTTTTTGATAAAATCATAAGATATAAAATACAGTTATGATTACCTTTATTAGACTGATACAGGTAAGTACTTTGGGTTATAATATTGCATTTATCTTTAGTCTCTTCTACCAAATCCAACGCTTGCCACAGAATGTCGTCCGTCTTATACCTGTCCATATTGACAACTGTATATCAGGTGCATGATGTAATTTTTTGTTTGTAATAAGAATACACGAAACAGTCAACCTTGACCTGCTGATCCATATTAGCACATGGATTTAACGGGAATATGCAAAACAACTTTGGCATTTGTAAAATATACTCACTTGTCAAAGTTTGAACGAAGATAACCAAAGAAAGGTTACTAGTGGGGTTTCATGTAATAAAAAAATATTCTTTTAAATCATGGTTTGATATTATCAATAAATATGCTATCGTTTTTTTTTTTTCATTTAATAATCAATGTTAACAAATATAGGGTTTAGAATGGGGTGTAAGTTAGTTATACACCTCGGGATACGGTGTGTCTGGATAAGAAACCCCCCCGGCCTCCGGCCGACGGGGTTTCTTATCCAGACACACCTATCCCTCGGTGTATAACTATTACTTATACTGTATGGGTCTAGCTTACTGTTGAAAATCGTAAAGTGACCTATAAATACTTACATCAAGGTCATTTGATCTCTGGTTGATACCGTTTTTGAAGCTGTTTCATTGGCAATCATGCCACATCTCCCTATTTTATAATAAGCATGTATTTACTAAAATATATCTTGATCTGAACATCATCGGACATATCGTATAAAACAATAGTATTTGTGTATTTTAGGGTTGTTTGTCATATATATGTTCCTTGTGGTCAATTCAGCAGTAATCAGACATGTTGCTGTCAAGTATTATAAACGGTTATTTCAATTTTAACACCGTTATTGGTCATTAAAGATACAGTTATCTGTATTGACGATAACGCACGAAGTACACATCTTCCATACCTTTTTTTCACGGGCTATTGATTAATAAGCCATGATAATATGTCTCCAGGCTGGCAGTCAATTTGTTCTTTTGCAGAGGTAAATAACAGTCACCTCTGAAAAAAAGGTGACTATAGTTTACTTGATCAGAGGAAGTGATGGAACAGCACTGAATGTACAGAAGTGGAATTTTGTGAAAACTTACTGACAATTGAAGTTATTGGGAAGATATTTTCCTTTTGGTTAAATCAGTCATGTTCAGACATCTTACTAGCATCATAGAAATATTGTGTAAAAATCGCATGACTGAATTATATGAAAACTTACTGAATGACTGTAACTGACTAGATCATGTAGAGCTCAAATAAGGCCGACATAAGTAACCATTGATGATATAGAAATAGGATCAACTCGACTTTTCCAATCCGGCTGTTAAAAACTGATGCTGAAGAGGGGATGTCCATTTTACTGACAACAATTTGTACTGGTTCAACATATGTATTTCTCTATATTAAATCGTTGTGATTTTTTTTTTAGATTTAGTATCAAGAAGATAATTTAACCGAAAGAAATTTATCAGACTTCGTGATTGTATATATTTATATATATATATAAAACTAAAATGGTTTACCAGAAATTTTAATTCGAATGACAAACAGTATACAAGTCAACAAAACATTACACATAAAACTGAAAATTGAGCAGCACAAATCCTAGTACACAAAAATGTACTATTAACGTAGCAGCACAAATCCTAGTACTATTAACTTAGCAGTCCAAAACCTAGTACTATTAACTTAGCTAATTTGGAACGGTAAGCAGTTCTTTTCTTCGCTAGTGGAGCATCTAACCGATAGCTATTAATATATGTTCCGTGAAACCATATATTTTTAAGATCATCGACCTTACATTTCATTAAATCAAAATTTATTATATTAAAATATTCATTTTAGTATCAACATGATTATACATTTTGTACACATGTTGGATTCATGCACTACTTTTTACACAACCAAATAAATAAGAAAGTTTTAACTATAAGTCCATATCCAAATTTAGTTTTACACACTCTCTGCACATGCTTGATTCTGGGATTATAAGGATCACTCCAGATTGCCTTTCTATGTAAAGCAATTGACCCGGCTACCAATTTCGATATATTTGTTTTTTTCATTTGCTGGCAATGGAGGAGGTTTGATTAGAGAATTTTAGGTTCACAGAAATGATAAGAAAATATGGTATGATTTCCAATGAGACAGCTCTCCACCAGAGACCATATGACGTAGAAGTTAATATATGTCAATGTACGGCTTTCAAGAATGAGCAAAACCCCTATCTTATATTTATCTATACAAAGTCCTCGAAATGACAATTACAAAACAGTTTAATAAAAAAAAAAAAATAACAGCCTGATTGATATACAAAACAATAAATGAAAAATAAATATGATATATTACAACAAACGACAATCAGAGAACTATTGACTTGGGACAGGCCAATACAGAGTGTGGCGGGGTTTAACATGTTTGCTGGCTCCAAACCCTCTCCCTAACCTTGGACAATGGTGTTTGTGTTTACTAATATTATTTTGTTTGGTTTTAATGTATTGATAAGAAAATCAATGTTCACCGATAAAAACAATGTTGAAATATATAATTACTGTTGAATTGGTAACCTTTCAGAATAAGTTTCTTCAGGGATCGATAAGTTTTCCCGGATCGCATGTAAATTTACGAATTTGGTAAACAACATTACCGTGAAAAAAATAGGATGTGCTATCATTTGTAATAAGTTTTCAATAAGGTACAGCCAAACGTAGTAAATGTTTGAAGTAATTTGTGGTGACAAAATCCTTCACCTAATAATTGTAATTTTCCAGCAATACATAGATTAAGTTCATTGAAATCTAAAACTCCACTACAGACACGGGCACGTGTGATGCATAAACACCGTAAGATGATGCCAAAGTAACATCACCGTCCAAAAAAGGGAAAATTAACAATAGCATTATCATGAACAGTTTGAAAAGTCTTTCACAATGATGTTTTTTTGTTTTTTTTTTTATAAACGATTTGATTTGCTTTGATTTATTGGTGTTTAACGCCACTTTCAGTACTACTGTGCTATTTCGTGGCGGTCAGTTTTTGTTGGTGGAGGAAGCTGGAGTGCTTTGAGAGACCTTACCCTTTTACACTTATTAAATTTCCATTCTTTTTGCGTGTTTGAGCTTTTGATTTTGCCATTTGACATGTTTGATAAGGGACTTTCCGTTTTGAATTTTCCTTGGAGTTTGATATTTTTGTTATTTTTCTTTATTGTAGTCAATATCTTTTCTGGTAAAGCCTTGGCTCAAATCTAAAGATTATTGACAAGATCTCAAAATTAGTTTTGTTTGGCAGTTTTTGCAGTTTTAGACTTGAAATGAAAATGCAATAAAGTTGGAGCCCTCTTGTCAATATGACAGACAAAGTTAAAAAAATTAAATACAGAAGTTTTACAGAGTTATGTCTTAAAATTGAGAATGGAAATGGGGAATGTGTCAAAGAGACAACAACCCGACCACAGAACAGACAACAGCAGAAGGCCACCAACAGGTCTTCAATGCAGCGAGACATTCCCGCACCCGGAGGCGTCCTTCAGCTGGCCCCTAAACAAATATATATACTAGTTCAGTGATAATGAACGCCATACTAAACTCCAAATTGTACACAAGAAACTAAAATTAAAAATAATACAAGACTAACAAAGGCTAGAGGCTCCTGACTTGGGACAGGCGCAAAAATGCGGCGGGGTTAAACATGTTTATGAGATCTCAACCCTCCCCCTATACCTCTAGCCAATGTAGAAAAGTAAACGCATAACAATACGCACATTAAAATTCAGTTCAAGAGAAGTCCGAGTCTGATGTCAGAAGATGTAACCAAAGAAAATAAACAAAATGACAATAATACATAAATAACAACAAACTACTAGCAGTTAACTGACATGCCAGCTCCAGACTTCAATTAAACTGATTGAAAGATTATGTCTTCATCATATGAATATCAGGCACAATCCTTCCCGTTAGGGGTTTAGTATCATACCATCATAACATATATGAGAAGAACATAACCCGTGTCATGCCAACAACTGGTTTTTAAATAAATGTGTTTAGTGCCGATGCAAAGACCCTATAAGTGAATCAATATTAACGCCAAAATATGCAATCTTTAATGACCTGACAACAGTATCGTAACTATATCCCTTCTTAATAAGTCTATTTAAAGGTTTTGTTAGTTTCAGAGGTGAATACTGACATTTTTGTGCTTTATAAAGAATATTTCCATAAAAAATTGGATGTGAAATACCTGAACGTATAAGAAGTCTGCATGTTGAGCTATATTTACGAATGATGTCCTTATACCGATGATAAAATTTAGTAAATGTTTTGACTAGTTTGTGATATCGAAAACCCTGGTGTAATAATTTTTCAGTAATACATAAATTTCTCTCGTTAAAATCTAAAACATTGTTACATACACGAGCGAATCGTAAAAGTTGAGATATATAAACACCGTAAGATGGTGACAAGGGAACGTCACCATCTAAAAATGGATAATTAACGATAGGAAATGAAAAATCATCTCTTTTATCATATATTTTAGTATTAAGCTTTCCGTTAATGATATAGATATCAAGATCGAGGAAAGGGCAGTGGTCATTGTTAGTATTAGCTTTATTTAAAGTAAGTTCAACAGGATAAATTTCTTTAGTATACATACTGAAGTCGTCATTATTGAGAGCCAAAATATCATCCAAATATCTAAAAGTATTATTAAATTTGTGTATCAGATGTTGTTTCGATGGGTCTTTACTGATTTTTGTTGCATGTATGAACATTTGAAGATATTATTTGGACGATTTATGAATTTGATTTTGAATTTTTGAATTCAAGTGTCAAAACACGAGTCTTTTTCATAGAATTTATTTTTATCGACTGCCTTGCGTTCATCAATCTAGTATCAATATATATGATGTGCTTTTACTCATTAACCTCTTTAAATCCATCCATGAAGTCAAATTTTGATTCTTATTGTGCAAATTCACGGTGAGATACTTTACAGAATACTCGTTGAGGTAAAAACCACATATGTGACAAAAATAATTGACCAAGCTAAACGAAGACAACATCATTTCATCTCAATGGAATTATTCTACTAGCAATAACATGTTAAAGTTTCCAGTGAATCTATTGATTACATGCAAGACAAGTTTAACAGAACATAGATGAATAAAAGAAGGCCTTTGGGAATTCAGCACTGAAGGCGATATTTACTTTTATGAAGCAACAGTTAGAACCAATGTAACAGTCATTTTGCAGACAATATAAATGAACCTTAGGACAAAAGAAGTGATAATGGATCGTCGGACATGGAAATATATTTAGCGATATGTGTAATTTTAAATAAGGATGGTCTAGTGTTCGAATATGAGCAATTATGTACATAGAGAGGTTCATAATAGGAGTCTGTGCATGAATTCACAACAACATTCATCATAGAAGTATAGATTAGAAGTCTATGACAGCATATTTCATAAATCACATTGTATAGAATGAAGGTCATTATTAGAAGATACATCAATATTTTAATATGGAAATGTTTTAATAGAAATCACTGTAAAATTGCGGAACTAAATTGAAATCTTAATAGTCTATGAGACCTGACGGAATCTATATAATGAGAATTGCAACTGCTTTGTTATAATCTCAATTGAGTAAGGTTAAACGATTGCTAGAAGATATTACCGTAATGATGTTTGCACTTTTAGTGTACTTTTATACAGCTGCATAATTAGAACTCTGCCTTAAACTCGGTTAAGATCCAGAAAAAAATTCTGCTGACGAACGTTTTTTTACATTTGTTTTGGTATGCAATTTTCTTTATCAACTAAGAAAATAAATATGTAATTTTATAACGATATTTTAAAACATTTGTTGTAGTTTCATTTTGAAATATTCAGTCTCGAAAAACGTACAACAAAATGTTATGATTGGCCATAAGTAATTGATAGTCAACCAACCAATGACGTGACGTTATTTTTGTTTTGTGATACGAACAATTATATTATCCTTTGAACTTCAAGTTTTTGAAACGGCAAATTATAAAGGTCCCTATGAAATATGCAAATTTAATACAGACCTGAAGTATTCTATTCTTATAGGGAAATTTGGAAAGATATTTTAATTACAATGTAACAGAGCGTATAGAATTTTTACGATTCCTTTCCCAATTATCTATACTACTAAAATAACGAGGTCCAATTAGTTAGCCGGCATGACCTAAAAACGACGAATCAAAGAATTCAACTTTATATATAACTAATATAGGACAGTTAAATTTCAATTATTTAAAAATCTCGGCAAGAATCGCGCTTTAAATATTAAAATTCGACTGTCTCAAGTGGAGAAATATCGTAAGACACTTGATGCAGTTGTGGAATCTATATTTATATAATTAAAGTCAGTTAATATGTAAATGATGTCAGATTTACACTCGACCCACCTTACAGTGGAATAAGATAGACTAAGTTATTCTGTATTTACAGATCAAAACACTGGATGTGACTCAATGACTATATACATATATAACTACAATAGTTGTCATTCCGTCTTTCTGAAAAATAATAATTCTTCACATTATTTTAAAGGCTTTACATGCATCATTAGACGTTGATTTAATATTTTGGTATTTAAGTGTAATGACGAGTTGCAGATCAAGTTTCCGAAGACCAACGTTTCATCCCTGAAATGTGCACGTCTATAAATTTGGATGGCCATTTTATTTTTCGATCGTTTGAAATGTTTCATATTTTGCCATTTCGGGGACTTTGTAAGCTGAATATCCGGTATGTCATGGGTTCTACACAGTGTTAAAGGCCGTGAACGTGGTCACATGCAAGTCATTTGGACTCTGGTCGTTAGTTATATCCTTGGCGATCAAACCACATTATGTTACTTATATTTATATAACTGCCAAAGGGTTTTAATGGTCACCATCACGAGTTGGTTAACCGTTATGGAATATATGTAGCAAAGATGACGACGGATACGGATAATTATGTTCAAATTGTCGTAACCACAATCCCACAATCCCATTCTCTGTTACTCATATGTGACATCACAGAACTATATTTTGTACTTACATGAGTACACGACAAGTGACATCACCGAACTAGACTTATGACCGACTTTGTACTTACATGAGCACACGACAAGTGACATCAACAAACTAGACTCATGGCCGACTTTGTACTTACATGAGTACACGACAACTGACATCACCGAGCTAGACTTATGACCGACTTTGTACTTACATGAGCACACGACAAGTGACATAAACGAACTAGACTGATGACCGACTTTGTACTTACATGAGCACACGACAAGTGACATCACCGAACTAGACGTATGACCGACTTTGTACTTACATGAGTACACGAAAGTGACATCACCTAACTAGACGTATGACAGACTTTGTACTTAAATGAGTACACGAAAGTGACATCAACTACATGTATGTGTTGCTTAGTCTGTAGTTTTTTATGATGTGTTTTGTTTTTGATGTTTCGTCGTCTATTGTTTTGTTACCATTGCGTTGACAATTTGCCATGACACTTAATGAACTTTAACAAAATTTGAGTTATACATTGCATAGAGGCATGGGGTTTATTTCAATCAAGCGAGGAGGTAAATTTCACTAATAAAAAACAAAATCACGAATACTTCTATACCTACACCTTAATTGATCTTTACCAAATGTCAGCATAAAACAAAAACACAAAAAGAACAGATTTGGCCATAGACTTCGTGAATTTAAACATTTCTAAAATAAACTACTTACCAGTAAATTAGGGGCAAGGTTCACTTTTGCCAAAATACGGCCTTGAATTTTAACCTTAGTTATCAGAACATATAAAATGGGCAAAAAAATTGTTTTTTACATGGTTCTATTTCAAAATCCTTAATGCAAAGTAAAACAAATATCTTCATTATAGTACAACAAATTAAGTCAACACATTTATGAGATGTTGTTAAAACAATGATTTTGTGCATTTTTCAGACCAAAAAGCTTAAGGAAAACTTAGCCAGCAAACAACGATTGAAAATGTTCTGTAAACACATGTGTCAATTTTTATATTAAATCCCTAGACACAATAATTTTCTAGATCAGTTGTTGCGGCCAAAGTTGCCTATGCTAAAAACTGGACAAAAACACACAAATAATGCATGACAAAACTTATACATGTAACATTGTAATTTATAATGTGTTATACCAACAAGAATTTATCTTTTAACACAACTATTTTTAAGTAAAATTAATAGAATTTTGGCAAGATTAAAAAAATAAATTACAATCTTTGTGTCTATAAGAACCTACTTCATTGTCACGTACCTAACTTCGGTAATGAGATAGGGGCCTCGGTGGCCGAGTGGTCTAAGTAGTCGAACTACTGTATCACTAGCCAGTCAACACTGAGGTTGTGAGTTCGAATCCCGCACGGGGCAGGTGCACTCGACTTCAATCTTAATTGGTTAGGTTTGTCAGTTTTCCTACCGAAGGTCGGTGGTTCTCTCCGGGTTCCGCCACCAATACAAACTGACCGCACAATAGTGTTGAAAGTGGCGTTAAAAATCAATCAATCAATCAATCGATAATGAGATGATTAATAACAAAACTGTCTAAAATAGTGCGTAACTTTATTGATTTAAAAGTTCTTGCGAAACTAAAGTTTCAACTCCCTGAAGCAAGATTGGCTTTATATGGATATGGCTATTTTTAGATCCTTTTTGGTCATATAGCTCTTCAACTGTTTCGGTTCTTATACATCATTGGCTTTCAAATATTCGGCTTTAAGCGTTCATGATCCAGAAAAATGCATCTAACGCACACAATTTATAAAGCTTCTTCATTTTCTACTTTCTGTG